GTAAGCGAGTGTTGTTTAAGCTAAGTTGATAGTAATTTGTTATGACCTCAGTAGAAAACTAATATGGATCTTGGCCTCAGAAGTGGGGTCCTACTATAACAAATACAAGCGTAGAGGTGGCTTTAAAACTTGGCAACAGGCAATGACTGAAATAATTTTGGTGAGCATGGCTAAAAAAAAGTCTACATGTCTTCCAGTGGACTATTAGTAGAAATATGCATGTTAAAGGTGCCATCAAGCCTGTGTGCAGTGGTTCACATCTGTTAGTCCAGCACTTTGGGAGGCCAAGGCAGGAGTAATGCTTAAGCCCACGAGTTCGAGACCGGCCTAGGCAACATAGCGAGACCTTGTCTCTACACAAAATTTTAAAATTAGCTGGATGTGGTGGTACACACCTGTAGTCCCAACTACTCGAAATGCTGAGGCAAAAGGATTACCTAAGTCCAGGAAGTCGAGGTGTGGTAAGCCATAATTGTACCACTACACTCTAACCTGGGTGACAAAGTGAGACCCCTATCCGCCCCCATAAATGCTGTCAGTCTGTCACGTGCTCAAAGACACAGAGAAACATGTCAGAAACTGAATGAAAGAGAATTCTTGTTATATCCTGGAAGAAAGTTTAGTGGAATTGTATGCTACAGTTGTATGGAAAGCAGAATTTATAAAAGATAAAACTGACATTTAGCAGAGAAGATTTCCAAGAAAAGTGTTGAAGGTTGTCTCATTTCTTCTTGCTACTTTTAAACAAAATACAAAAGAAAAAATGTAAATTGAGAGAAAAGAACCAAGATCTGATGATTTGAAAACTTTGTCTATTTGGCCAAAGATGCTAAAATTAAGATTCACTGCCAGGAATGTGTTCACTATAGTAAAATCCCTGGGTGTGATGTCTCAGAAAGATCAAAAAGATCAGAAAGATCAAAAGTCACACCAAAGGCTCTTAGGAGAGATTAAGAGTGTGACTCACAAATAACCTCAAACTATAAGCTTATGGGCTGTTTTCTCAGCCACATCAAAAAAAATTAAAAATAGAGATGGTAGTATCTAGGAACCCTCTGTACATGAGCCTCTTGTTTTATGAAGCAAATCCCTATGACATACATGGGAGACCCCTAAGGTGCCTGAGAATGTTATGTCAGCAGAAACACCATTAACTTGACCTGAATTGAACAGCGAAATTATAATATGAAAGAAGGCTGTCAAACTCTCAAAATTCTATAGGTGGAAAGCAGGCTTTTGATAAAACAACCAGCTGCACCCATGCTACCTTTTATGAAAAAGGAGGGACACTAAGAGGGCAGATTCACGAGACTGGGAGTTAGAGCCATAAGCCACAAACAATTGTTCCTAAGCCTTGAAACCTAGAGGAGTTTGGTTGAATTTGGTTGAAAATTACTTGAGACAAATGGCATGTTTTTGCTTTCACTTTTCTCCCTTTCTGAATGGTCATACCTATAACTGTTGCTCCATGCCGGTCCTATTTTTGACAGCAGATAATTTGTTTCTTTAGTTCCACAGGTCCATAGGTGGAGAATACTTTGCCCAAGGTGAATCAGTCTCAGAGCTGCACTTGTATCTGATCTAGATGGTTTAGATGATGTGATTGAGACTTTGAGCTGGTGAGATTTTGGACTCTGAACTAATCCTATAATAAAGTGAGACTTTTGGGAAGCTTGGAATGAAGTGAAATGTACTCTGCATGTGGAACAGATATAAATATTGGTGGCCAGAGGACAGGCTGACCTATGGAAAGTTAAGATAATAAATTTGTGTTGGTGAAGCTGCTAAATTTGTGATAATTTTTTATGGCAGCAGTAGAGATTAATATAGACACATTGAACTACAAGTCAGGGGGAAATAAGCATTTTGCATTTCAAGATTTATTTTATTTATTTATTTATTGCATAGCTCCTTTCAGTTTATTGCATGAAGGAGTTACATGAGTCCAAGTTAAAAGCAGACCCCAAATGGTTACATTATACAAGCTGGGAGGTTTTTAAACTTGTGACAAAGGACAGAAGGGCAATTCTACTCGTTTGCAAGGAAATTCTTACTTAAGCTACAGTGAGCCACAAGCACTTAAAACCCGTGAACCTCCAGCTGATCGTCCTTAGTCAGTCGAATCTCTAGGAGGAACTGTCATATGTTCTTGGGCTGGTCACCCTGTAGCTGAATTACTTCTCCATATTCTGGAAGCTCAATTACAGTACCACTGCAGGCAAATTTCTTCTTAAACGCTTTCACTGGTTTCTTTTTATTACAATCATTACCCATCCCTTGGACAGTAGTAAAGGTCTTCCTGCCGTTTCTGTTGAATTCTTTTTTTTTTTTTTTTTTTTTGAGTTTGGAGCCTCACTCTGTCGCCCAGACTGGAGTGCAATGGCCGCTCCCGGCCACCGCAGCCTCGACCTGCCGGGCTCCGGCGATCCTTCCGCCTCAGCCTTCCCAGTAACCGGAATTACAGGCGCGCGCTACCCCGCCCGGCTGATTTTTTGATTTATTGTAGAGATGAGGTCTCGCTGCCCAGGCGGGTCTCGAACCCGCGGGCTCAGGCGATCCACTCACCTCAGCCTCCCAAAGGCGTGGGATTACAGGCTGAGCCACCGAGCCCGGCCCTGTTGAATTCTTACATGGATATAATCCTCAGTGCCAGAAGGAAGCAGGTCATCACCCTTACGTGCATCAGCAAAGGGGTCGAGATCGGCAGGACTCGGGTCAGGCCGAATGGGTCCTTTGGTGGCTCTCCGGGAACAGGTCAGTCCGGGACGCCCAGCTTCCCCAGACGCGGAGAGAGCCGGGGCCTCCCGCCCTCCCTGGGAGCCAGGCACGGGTCCGGGAGCCAGGGCTGCCAGGCGACGCCCCACCGGGCTGATGCCCATTTCAAGATTAAAAAAAAAATAAAAAATAAAAAATAAATAACAACAACAACATAAAACAGGCCAGGCGCGGTGGCTCAAACCTGTAATCCCAGCGCTTTGGGGGGGCCGAGGCAAGAGGATTGCCTGAGCCTAGGGGTTCGAGACCAGCCTGGGCAACTTGGCGAAACTTCTCTCTACAACAGATAAATAAAAACTAGCCGGGCGTGGTAGCGTGCCTGTAGTTCCGGCTACTTGGAAGGCTGAGGCGGAAATGATCGCCTGAGCCCAGCAGTCCGACGCTGGAGTGAGACTCCCACTCGAAACAAAACAGAAAAACCAGCAACCTAAGTAATAAAGTAAATGAATAAATGAAATAAAAGGTTTGCCACATCTGATTCCAGTTCCCAGTATTAGACAAGATTGGGTGCATTCAGGGTGGTATGGTTATAGACAATACCCATTATTAGTGATATTTTGAGCCTTTCTTGAAACAGAATTTCTAACCAAACAACTTTTGCAATGTTGAAGTGAAGATATGTGATGGTCCCTGCAGATGTAATAATCGAGAGAGAAAATTGATGTTTTTCCACCATGAATAGACTGACTAACTGCACTCTTGGTATCCCTGGTAATCTTGTGTTTTTTCCTTTGAATACCGACTATGTTTTTTATTTTATATTGGGACAATCTTTCTAAATCTTGGGTTTCCTTGCATAATCTCCTTTACAAGTTAAACTTTTTTTTTTCTTTTTGAAATGCTTTTGACTCTGAGTCTTCCTTCCACACCATTATGTTATTTTGCCAAACTATCTTATATGTAGCGTCACTGTAAAAAATAAACAAGTATGCGACACATATTAGGCCATCATTATGAGGTAGCCATTATTAGCATAGAGGCCCAAGGGAGGAACAGAACTGGGTACACACATTCTCATCTAGAACATCTTAAACTGTTCCTTAGTTTGTTTTTAAAGAGAGTCCTCATCTTTTAGAAATATATGGAAGTATTTAGGTGTGAAGTTTCATGATCTTTAAAATAATCTAGCATGGGAGAAATAGTTTGGGAGAATGAGGTACAAATGAAGTAAGATAGACTTGTATGCTGATAATTATTTAAGCTAGATGACAGATATATGGGAATTCATTGGACTTTGCTCTCTGTTTTTGTAGAATCAGGAGCAATGTTGATCCTGCAAGCGCAGCATGGAGGCCAAGTAAAAGCATTGCATCATCCCATGCTCAGCTCTGATCTAGATGGTTTAGATGATGAGATGATCTCATCATCTCATCCATGTCAGAGTTGTCACAGGAGGAAAAACATGGGGAGTCATGATTCTTCTGTCAGATCATCTGTATTTGCAGGACTGCAGGATTAACTCTAGGAGGTGTTTCAGCTTAATCTTCCTTGTATTCCTGCAACATATATTTAAGACATTTGCTTTGTCTTTCTAGGCCTCCATTTCTACAATAGTAACAACAGACCTTCTTTACTAAGGTATTAGGCAGTGGATTGTTTATGACTCTGAAAAGCCATGGACTATTCACTACTCTGTTGGGCAGTGGCTCTGTTCATGACTGTAAAATGTTATAATTGAAGGGAATGCCTTCTGGTGAACCATGACATTGTTTCCTAGTCAGTGAAGTAGTAGGGAGGTTTTCCCAGGACATATTTTTCTTTAACAATTCGTGTGTGTGTGTGTGTGTGTGTCCATAGCTTTAATTCCTAACCAATGCACCGCTAAGCCTCAAATTTTCTTTCTAATCCAAACTCTTAAGTTCTGAGTTCAAATTTCTAAAATCATCAAACTCAACAAGCCAAAAACAGAGCTTTCGCCGGGCTCGGTGGCTCAGCCTGTAATCCCGCGCCTTTGGGAGGCTGAGGTGAGTGGATTGCCTGAGGCCGCGAGTTCGAGACCCACCTGGGCAGTGAGACCTCATCTCTACAATAAATAAAAAAAAAAATCAGCCGGACGTGGTAGCGCATGCCTGTAATTCCGGCTATTTGGAAGGCTGAGGCAGAAGGATCGCCGGAGCCCAGCAGATGAGGCTGCGGTGGCCGGGAGTGGCCACTACACTCCAGTCTGGGTGACCGAGTGAGACTCTAACTCAAAAAAAAAAAAAACCAGAGCTTTCTTCCTTGACCTTCTGCTTCTGATTAACAGCACCACCATCTTCTACTCAACCAGCTGTCATCCCAGACTCCTCCCACCCTTCATGTCCTACATCTGACCGCTTATCAGACTTGTCCTTCCTACCTTTGCACTGCATTTTGATTTTATCCTCAGTGTTCCATGTACATACTATAGGTCAAACCCTGGTCATTTCTCAGAGACTCTCCCTCTTACAGCATCACTGTAAGAAATAAATGAGTATCCCTCTACCCATCCAATAAACACTTGGCAGAATTTTTTTTCCTCATTCAAAACTATGATCATGTCAGTTCTTGGGTTAAAACCTTTCATGGTTCCTGTGATTTCCAGAATAAAATCCCAATCCTTGGTTAACCCAAACTAGCTTTTCAACCTCTTCTTCAGTCATTATTCCTTGTAAATCCTATTTCCAGCAAATCATGTTACTGGCCACTGATCAAGGAAAAAGGAATTATGGGGAAAAAAGATGTTCTTGGTGCAACTGTCTTGAGATGTTTAGCTAAGCCTTCTATACCAATACATCTTCACTCTCGTCTTTCCCAAAATCTGCTCAGATTCTTCATTAATAGAAAGGCAAATAATTGATAACATCTTAAAATGGTATTGGTGGTGACTGCCTTTAAATAATTTTATACAACTCATCAATGAGGGAATAAACCAGCAATATGGTAAAGCAGAGTCAAAGGGGAATCAGAGAAAGAAAAAGATATATATAGTCTACAAGCAAAGGCATTATAAAATAAGTCTGTCAAGTTGGAGACAAAACTCATTAATGTTCTATAGGTCAATAAAACTCTAACATTTGAGGTTACTTTTCCTAATGGGCAGAAGTTGTCTCTATTCTAGAGAAGGTCTACAAGGTAACATATAGCTTCAGCGTCTGAGTCCTAATTATAGTAGAAAACAAAGACAAACACAGCTATATTCCTCTGGATAATTAAATAATGCTTGGATGAGTCTGTTAAACAATGCTTTAGTATTTATACTGTCCATCTTTTTTGTTTATTCTCAAGTTTTTAGTGATTTTTAAATACATATCAATAAAGGAAACTAAACTAAGAAAATTTCAGGCATAAATCAGTAGATAGATATGGGTAAATATATTAGAATTCTAATATATATTTCTCCCCTTGAAATCACCCTGAAAGATAGCTTTGTGGATACAGTAAATAATGAAATTAGGCAGGAACCTTTCTGAAAGGCTAATACTATCTGATGAGCACAGTGATTTTTGGATCACAAATAAAATTTGATACACTGGGTGTATTCTGGTGACTTCAAGGCTAGCGAAGACTTGGATTTACTTTTCAACTATCTCTTGGTAGAATCACAAAGGCAACCTGATTATACAGGGTAATCTGGAATAGGGAAAAGCCACTGGGCCTGGAGTAACTTGAATTTGATTCCTAATACAACCATTTATCAACTGGTGGTCTCTAAGCCTCAGCTTCCTCACCTGCAAGTGAGTATCAAAAGTGATGGAGAAATGGTTCCCAAACCAGTGCTTGTCTGTGAAAAAGTTTTCACCAGTTTATATAGAAATAGTAATAATTTTTTAAAGTGTATGAGGGAAAAGGAGGGCCTTAAGTGAAGTGATATTCAAATATCATTTTAAAAAATTTTATTTTGTGTATGTGGCAAAAATGTCCCTTTTGTTATTAAGTAATGGTAAAAATTAGTAGCAGACAGATATTTAAATGGATATATGTGGCAAAATAAAAGTTAGCAACTCTATGCCTATCTCCAAATGATTTTTTTAATATGCTCTGGGAACTACTGTAAGGGAGTGTGTGGATTTACTTTGTGAACTAAAAATGTGTGTACAATGTGAGCTATTATTACTGTAGTCTCCCAAGGTGCCATTGCTTGTATGGTGATGAAAATACCATCCAGCTGGTCCTAAAGGTTCCTGAGCAACCCACACTAGAATAATGCTTTCTCTTGGGAGTCAACTGGGACAGACCTCTCACAGAGAGACAAGCCCACTGGCAGCAGGGCAGCCTCTGGGTTAAACCCTGGATTTCTCTTTAAGGAGAGGAATTTCATCCTGTAAGACTTTTATTTCCAGCGGGGAAAGTGAATAATATAGTAGGATCCTCCCTTTTTAGAGACTAAAGGAACCTACCTGCCCTAAGAGTGATAAGAGAAGGGAATGCAGTTTGCTGCAGGAAAGCAGAGACAAGAAAAGAAAGGAGCTGGTGCTCAGATGTGGGAAAATATGAGACTGGTGGAGCTGGAAATGGCCAGGAGGGGCAATGTGGTTATGTCTGCATCGGGGCTGCCAGAGCCCAGGACTTCTGCCATGATAAATAGGGCTGGAATAATCCCAGGTCATCTTCTTAAGAAGAGCACACGTTTAAAACCTTTCTTATCACTTTACATAGAAGTACCTCATTGAAAGAAATAAAAATAAGCCAGACATGAAAACTAAATTCACCCATATCCTAATTTAGCCACAATTCTTATGAACATTTTAGCAAACTAAAACACCTCAGGATTTTTTCCCCCTCCATGCACAAATATTTTGTTCAAACAAAAGTAACATAATATTGTGCATACAGTTTTCTACCTGCCTTTTTTTTACTTAAAAAACCCCGACATTTTCCCATGTCACTAAATATATGATGTAATTTTTATGGCTATGTAGTACCATTGTGCAAATGTGCCATAAAAATAGGGAGTAGGTATAGGTTTCTACACACACACACACACACACACACAGTCCTTGTAGATGAATCCTTTGATACAAAATGCGAATTGCACACTCTAAATAATGGGTATATAGGTGTCCATTACACCATTCTTCCAACTTTCCTGTATGTTTGATGTTTTTAATAATAAGATGTGGGTGAAAATGTTTTTTGAAATATCCTTGCATAGACCCGTCGTGACCCGAGAACGAGTTCCTAGAGGCAGCACCGCGGTTTCCAGGCGGCCCTTTTCTGCGCTCTGAGCCCGCCGGCTGCGGGGTTTCCCGGATGCGCTCCGGGCGGGGCGGGGCGGGGCGGGGCGGGGCGGGGCCTCCCGGCAGGCGCAGCGCCCCCTCTGTGCGGCGGCCGGAGGTGCTGTCCGCGGCTCCCCGGCGGCCCCGAGCCGTGGCCCCGGCGGGAGAAGGCCGGGCGGGCCCGCGGGCTGGCGGCTGGGAGAGCGTCCTGACCGCGCTTTCGCACGGCCTCGCTGGGAAAGCCCAGCGGAGCGCCGGGCTGCCAGGCGCGCGGCATCAAAGCCGCAGGCGTCCGGAGAAGAAAGGGCCAGTGTGCGCGATCGTGAAACTCCAAAGCCCTTCTCCAGGCACGGCGACGCACGGGGGAGGGGAGAGGGGGCTGAAACTGCGCTCGAACAGTGTGGGCAGTCAGGCCCCGGGTGCCCCGCCAGGACAATAGGGCCTCAGTGCTGCAGACAAGGCGGCCCGGGGGCCTGGTGGGAGCATAAAGGGAAGCTGTGTCTCAGCGGCACTCAAGTTCACCTTTGTCTTCGGAGTCCAAGTCAAAGGAAGGTTATAGAAGGAGCCTGCAGGCTCTCCTTCCTCGTCAGGGGTCTGGTCGATAGGACGGGCCAAGTTCTTTCCCCACGATGCTGGGAATTCGGATGAAAATAGAAATGTGCCCGCCTGCTAGCTGGGACAGCGGTCAGTGTTCATGGCAATAACTGCGTCCTCTGGCCAGAGCCCACGAGCAGGGACATCCCAGTACAAAGTACTGGAACTAGTGGTCTGGAAGGGGCCTGGGCAGACGGGTTATATAGCAGTGCGAATTTGTCCTTGCTGGGAAATGGGCAGTGGGAGGTGGGCAAGTTTCCTCCCACCAACTGTCAGCGGTCTGGACTCTGCTACTGCCTCTTCCCCCAAGGAGAGGCGTACTGTGTTTTGGCCTGGTAGCTGCAGCCCACCCATCAGTGGTGGAAGGTTAAAGGCTACTATCCTTACGCTTGGCCTTTGCTGAGTCCTCTGGAGTTGACCCAAATCAGCTGTCTAGGGCCAGGTCTCCGTTGGCACTTAAGGAGAAAAACATGTTCTTGGCTGAATTACCTAAATAATTCCAATGGCTGTCACAGTAAGGAGTAGCTGTGAGGAAGAGTAATTCACAACTCCTCACCTTCATCCCCTACTCCCCACCAAACACAGACACATCCACGCACCCAAGTTGTACATCGATTTTGTAATCCTACTTTTTGTTATAGAGTCAAGAGAGTTAAAAAAACTCATACACAAAACAAAAGAAAAAACAAGTAAATGAACTAGCACACAAACTTTGAATCCCAGATCTGCTTCATTTTATCTTTGCCACTTACTATTTATGACTTTGGACAACTAACTTACCCTCATTCAATTGTGTCAGTTTGTAAAATGGTCCTACGAAATTCTCCTTATAGAGTTGCTGTGAGAATTAAAAGAAAATGTGTGAATTTCCTAGCATGGTAGTAAGTTTTCAGATAAAAGTATCTATTTATTTTTTTGTTTTTAAAACTTGATTGTTTTTAATATTGTTCCAAATGGATTTGAGGCTACTCACACAAATATAGAGACTACTACAATATAAATAATAAATGAACACTTTCAAGTTTTGCTCTTTATAATTCTAAGTTCTTTTCATTGTTTGTAACAAAAATGCATTAATCCGTTAGCATATGAAATAAATGAATTTAAGATCCAAGTGATGAAAAAAACGAAGTACATTTAGGTAAAAGTGGTGAGAGTACATATAAGTATTTCACAGAAGGGCGAGTAGGTTGTTGTGTCACGGCAGTCCCAAATCAGACATGGTGCTCGAATCATGTTTACCTATCCCGAAGAAATCACCCAGAGGACGTGTTGGTAAAGGTATGGGTTTATTATCACTTACGGGAGGGAACCGATGGTGACTGGTGGATATGAAGCTTCCCGCACCCCAATAAACATGGGAAGAGATTATTACCCCTAGCGTGGGAAAGGGAGTGAGCATTATGTGCCAAGAAGAAGAAACAAAGATGTTTTCTCTTGAAAACTGTCTTGAGTTCGCAGACAT